CAAGAGCAGACTGCTTCATCTTTCTGTCTGTGGTTAACAGTCCAGTGCTTATCTTATATATCATCAGGGCTCTTTGTTTGACCATAGAAATGTTTTCCTTGGGTTTCTCTTTTTCTATTTGTTTTGTTTTATTTTTCTGGTAAACTAGCTGATTTATGGCTTAGCTCATTGTTTTTATGAAGCTACCAGCTTCCTCATAATTGCTTATCATTCAAATACCCATTGTTTTCAAAAGAATCCTCCACTTGATATTCTTTATGCTCTTTTCCAGATTGTGATTTTCGAGAGAGCTTCAGTACTCTCTCTTCAAATAGTTTACATTTTTCTATGGGCAAAATCTCTCTGTCACTGTTTTTTAAGTTGGAAATATGTCTTTTGTCTCTTAAAGAAGCATCCCGGCTTTATCAGCATATTGTTGAGAGTGAGGATGGTAGACTCTGACCTTTATGGATTGCCTCTCCATGCCTGAAACCTCTACTCAATGAGTGATGGGATGAGAGGGAACTGGGACAAGAGGTATTGAGCCCAAGCACTATTGGCCTGCTATTTTCTTGCCCTATGAGCAGGGTTTGTTGTTGTTGTTAAGTGTTGTTGAATCTATTCCAACCCATAGCAACCCTGTATAGGTTTTTCAAGGAGCAGCTGGTGAGCTTGAACCACCAACCTTGTGGTTCAAATGACTTTGCAGTCTGACACGTTAGTCCAGAGTGCCACACCAGAACTCCATGTAGAAAAATACAGATTCAACCTTTCAGTCATACTCATCTAGAATTTAGCCAGCTTAACACAAAGTAGGAGTCCTGGTGTGGTGTCGTGCGTTAATGAGCCAGACTGCAAAGCCACTTGAATTGCAAGATCGGCGGTTCAAGCTCACCAGCTACAGAAACCCTATACAGGGTTGTTATGAATCAGAACTGACTTGATGGCACTTCACAACAACAACAACAACACAGAGTGGAGTAGTAATGATGATAAGAAATAGTGTTGGTTTACTTTTGTCAGGAAGTTACTGTAACTCTTGATTGAGAGCTGTGAGAAGAATGGGTATTCCAGAATATTTATATTATGCTCATGAAGAACTGTACATAGATGAAGAGGAAGTTATTGGAGTGAAACAAGGAGATAGTGAATGGTTTAAAAAATCAGAAAATGTGTGAGCCAGGATTGCATTCTTTCAGCATACTTATTCAGTCTGTATACTGAGTAAATAATCCATTCTATATGAAGAAGAACATGGTAAGGGTATTGGAGGAAGAATCATTATCCAACTGAGATATGCAGATGATACAACCTTGCTTGCTGGAAGTGTAGAGGACTCTAATATATTTACTAGTGAAGATCAAAGTCTATAGTTTGCTGTATGGATTGCATCTCAATGAAAATCCTCAGAAATGGACCGCTAAATAACATCATGATAATTGGAGAATAGATTGAAGTTGTCAAATAATTTATTTTGCTTGGGTCCAATGCTCTTGAAGGCAGCAATCAAGAAATCAAATCATGTATTGAATCAAGCAGCTCTGTTGCAAAAAAAAAAAAAAAAAAAAACTTTTTAAAGTGTTAAAGAGCAAAGATATTACTTTGAGGGCTAAGGTATGTCTGACCCAAAGTATAGAATTTTCAATTGCCTTCTATGGACGTGAAAGTTGGATAATGAATAAGGAAGCTGGTAGAAGTATTGATGCATTTGAGTTATGGTGGTGGAGAAGAGTATTAAAAGTACCATGGACTGCCAGAAGATCAAATAAATCTGTTTTGGGACAAGCACAGCCAGAAAGTGCTTGAAAGCCAACATGGCAAGACTTTGTCTCTCATACTTTGGACATGTTATCAACAGGCATAAGATCCTGGAGAAGGGCATCAATCATGCTTGGTAATATGGTGGGTTGGCAAAAAAAAAAAAAGAGGAAGACCCCAATGAAAAGGACTGACACAGTGGCAGCAACAATAGGCTCCAACATAACAATTGTAAAGATGGCACTGTACCAGGAGGTGTTAAGCTATATCTGTATAAGTTCTCTATGAGTCAGAACCAACTGGATGAAACCTAACAACAACCTTTACAAAAATAGTGATATTATCTTCCCCATTCTGGTTCTTTGTTGTTAAGTATCATTGAATTGGTCCCAAATAATAGTGACTATGTGTAGAGTTTATGAATAAAGGCTGATGGGTTTGTAGTTAGCAATCCAATGCTTATCCTACAGTGCTACTCCATTCTGTTTAGAAGGGATCCAAATTCTATCTTTGACACTTTCCAAGAAATGTTGAGAAAAATGATATTTTCCTTTAGGTGAGCTTTCTTAAGTTTATTTTGTCATAGAAAACTTAACATGCACAAAATCATCAAAATAGTATAATGAAATTTGAAAATTTCAACATTCTAAAGTGGTGCTATGGGTTAATGGGCTGGCCTGCAATGTCACTTAAAACCACAAGTTCAGTGATTCAGGCTTACCAGATACTTCTCAGAAATGACTTGCTGTAGGATAGACACTGGAGTGCTAATAGCAACAACAACATACATGGGGATTCTGAGGAATAGCGGGTGAGCTTGAATGGTAGACCTTGTAGTTCGCAGTTCAGTGCTTACCCTACTGCATCACACTAGGAATTGACTGTTGTTTTTGTTAAGTGTCATTGAGTCAGTTCTGACTCATTGTGACCCTGTATAGGGTTTCTGAAGATAGGCTGATGAGTTTGAACCACTGATCCAGTATTTATCCTAAAGTGTCTCACTAGCAATTGACTGGTGGTGGTGGTTATGTGCTGTGGACTCAATTCTACTCATAGCAACTCTGTACAGGATTTCCGAGGCTGTAAATCTTTAAGAGAGCAAAAAATTTCTTCATTCTCCCACAGAACAGCTGGTAGTTTCAAATTGTTGGCCCTGGGGTTAGCAGCCTGATTCATATCCATTATGACTAGGAAGAAATAAAATAGGAGTTTCAGGGAAGATATAAGGATTCTATATCAAGATAAGGATAAAAGAGTAGCTGGTGGGTTTGAACCACCAACCTTGCTATTAGCAGTCCAATGCCTATCCTACAGGACTTAAGAATTAGTGCTTAAATATCTAGAAATTGTATTGGAGGAAAATGGAAAAAGTAGCTGAATGGCTATTGTCCAAAAAGAAGATTACATAGTCCTGTGTTAGTTGTTTGCCCTCAAATTTTGCTAGTCATTTCACTAACATTATATAATAATAACATGACACAAATATTTTGAATAATGGAAGGATGAGCATGTATTTTTTAATTTAGTAAAGCTAGAATGAAAGCTTAGGAAGGGAGGTGATTTTTAGAAAGAATAAGCCAATTTGGAAGAACAAGTCTCAAAAGTTCCTGTTTGTTTCAGTCCTATGAATACCTCTGGTGTTCATATATCCAATATTCCCTAACTCTTCAATATAGAAAATGATCAGGGTCTGTGAATTCAAATCTGTATAAAAAATTTGCATGTGATTTCTAGACACATTACAAATTAAGAAGTGCTTCTAGATCACCATGTAATTCAGTAACATCCCAAGGAAGAGAAAAACAAAAAAAGTAACAAGCTAGGACATGGAATAAGAACATACAAATTAACAAATTTAGTATCAAACATAGATACAATTTCTATAGATTCTATCATGAACACATTTGTGATTGTTAAGTACCATCTGACTCCTAGAGACTCTATTTAGGTTTTCTAAGAAGGAGCTCTGGTAGCGTAGTGGTTACGACTCGGACTGTGAACCGCAAGGTCAGCAGTTCGAAACTACCAGCTGCTCCGCGGGAGAAAGATGAGGCTTTCTACTCCCGTAAAGATTTACACCCTCGGAAATCCTGTACAGGGTCGCTATGGGTCGGAACCGACTCGACGGCACTTAACAACAACAACATCAGCTTCTTCAGGAGTGCAGTGACTGTACTGTAAGCACTGAATTTTGAACCAAAACTGACGGTTCAAGCCCACCAGCAGCTCATCAAGAGAAAGATGACACTTTCTGCTCCTCAAAGATTTACAACTTCGGAAACCTTTACACAGGGTTGCTATGAGTCAGAACTGACTGGAAATCACTTTCAACATCAACAATCAGCTACTTAAGATTTGAGACATTACAAATTAAATACAAATATTGCTAAAGATCTTTTCCACATTAATTCCCAAGTATGCCATTTAACAGAAGCCTGGTTTGTAGATTTCAAGGTCAGTTTGAAAAAGAAGTCAGCGGTTCAAATCCACCAGCCGCTACTGAAAAACCCTATACATAGTGACATAGGGTCACTATGACTTAGAATCAACTCAAAGGGAATTGATAATATGTCATTTAATAGTGAATCTGAAGCATATACAATAAATTCTAATATGGAAAACTTAATCCATATCTTGAGAATGCTAAAATGAATCAAGTGAACAGCATTTTGTTCCCAAGTAAATTTCACTGTAAAGGTATATTTAAGTACTCAAAATATTCATATGAATGATTACATTCTTTTAGCTACCAAATGTGACAGCTTACTTATCTTATATTTTTCTTTGGAGATTTATCTTCACTTCACAAATATATTATAATTTCCATTAGGTATAACCAGATAGTTGTGAATGTGCTTTTCCTCAGTGCTTGTGGCTCAGATAAAGATTGTTTTCAATAAAATTTATGTCTAAAAGAAGAGAAGCATTTAGCAGTATAATCTGCATTTTTTTTAATGAAGTAGGAAGAAGTCTTATATCTCGTTATAAAATTTAGGTGAATTTGAAACCATAGGAATCAAACTGCTCTGCCCCCTCATCCTTTCATTTTCTGCATTTTCTCCTAAAATTAATATTTGGAAAAAAAAAATTGTATTTTTATTTGATCAAATTGAAATGCATTAAGTGTTAGACAAGCAGGCATTTGTTTTGTTAATTCATAAATATAGGGGGAAAGTGTTTTAAATAATGGCTTAAGTAAAAGAAATCTTTTAAATTGTGACCGAAAACATCACAGAATTTTAAAATTCATATCTTATTTACAGATGTAAAATATTTAAAAGAAGAGGATGCCAATCGCAAGACGTTCACTGTCAGCAGCACACTGGACTTCCGAGTTGACCGGAGCGACGATGGGGCCTCCATTATGTGCAGAGTAGAACACGAATCCCTCAATGCCACCCCTCAGGTAGCCATGCAGGTGCTAGAAATTCACTGTAAGTATACACTACTCCTTCCTCTTTTTCTCTGCTGCAAATCATTTTAATTATCACCTAACTTCAGGAAATATACCGCAATATGTAAGTGAAACAAATTAAAAATACACTCACTAGAATTACACACATTCAAAAGAAAGTCATCCATGTCTGAGTGCCATGCTAAACAATGAAGAAAAATAAAGAAAATATAAGATTAAGACTCCTATGTTTTAAATGGTTGCTTTAGGTATTTATGTACTTGGACAAGTGAATAGTGACTATGGCAAAATCAGAGTAGGAATTTCAGAAAGCCTTGATGAACTGTTTCTTGAAAAAAAATGTTACATGCAAATATGATTTCTTGTGTATACTTTTAAAATTAGGCCATATTTACTTTTTATATGTTATCAACTAAGTCTGTATGAATGCAAAGACCTACCTATTATATTTAAATGTTTATAATCATCATTTTATAATTGATATGGATACCATTAATTGGATAATTTCAACAGACCAAGACCAGTACTAAATGCCTTAATGGCATTATCTAACTGAGTACTCAGAAAGCCCAAAGAGTGGCTACTTTCTTTAGTCATAATTTATTACTGAGGAAACTGAAGAGTACAGAGATTGAGTCACACAAGTAGGAGACAGTATACTTGCAATCACGCCATTTTGACTTCTTAACAAGGTCCTAGAAAGGTATAGAAATGAATGAAGATATAGAAAGATAGATACAGAAGTGAAATATGTAAGCTAATGGGGAAAAGAGAAGAAAACAGGAGTTTATATTTTCTGAATTACATTTCTCTGTTTTACAGAGATTGTGGAATTTTTTTGCTGTTGTTATTTTTGTTTGTTTTTTGGATTTGGTTTTTAACTATGATTAGAAGACACCTAGTAATGCAAAGGGTTATGTAAGCATTACGATGCTAACTGAAAGGTTCAAATCCATCAGCTGCTCCATGGGGGAAGCATAAGGCAGTCTACTTTTGTAAATATTATAGACTTGGACACCCTATGAAGTAATTTGACTCTGTCTTACAGGATCGTTATGTGCCAAAATCATCTTGACAACTGTGTTTGGTTTGGTTTGGATGTTAAAATTATAACCTGAGTTTAGAATTTCAATGTAATGTGATGTTTCACAAAATTCTAAAACACTAAATTTTCATTTATTTATTCAGCAAATAATCATAGAGTGCCTACTGAGCACTTAAGTTACAGCTATAGATTAAAAAGAGTGTTAATAAAATCATTGAAGATTGTGACCAATTTCCAAACTCACCATCTCTCCAATTATTAATTCTCACATCCATTCTAGGAAAGAGTAAAATTAAATTAAATAAAGGATACAAAATATAACTTGTTATGCTTCCTTTGGAAATCCTATTTGGAGTCTCTATTAGTCAGAATAGACTCAATGGCACTAACAAACAACAATGTGGAGAAAAATGAAGCACAGAGCAAGGCAATAAGAAGGGTAGTTGCAAAGATGGATATGGTATCAAGGAAAGTAAGTGAGAGTAAGTGTATGCTTGTGTGTATGCTGAGGGAAGACTATACAGACTCTGAGGCCAAAACGTGGTTATTAATCTGATGTTTTTAGGAACACCAAGGAGACAAGTGTAACCAGAATAGAGATGTTAGGTAGAGTACTAGGCGAATAGGTCAGAGAAGTATCCAGAGACTAAATTTCTTTTCCACTTTTCTAATAATCACTCTCATTATAACATGCTCATTATATTTTTTATTCATAGACTACTGGTCATTGTGTTTACCATAATATTTTTAAAACTTCAGCTATACAAGGGGGCTTTAAAAAGTTAATTAAAAAATTCCATTATTTTTCTATTCAATTTTTCCATTTTCACTTTTTGAAAGTCCCTCATGTTTAGTTCATATTACTACTTTTTATTTTGCTCTTACTGAAGTTGATTCAGAAATAAGAATACATTATAGCCCAAATTGAGATTGTTTCTAAATTTCAATTTATTTGCAGTATGACTTTGTGAATATGATTGAAACTACTTGACCTTCAGTTATAACCTGAAATACAATATCTGTAAGGAACTTAAGTATATCTGAACCAATAGACTTTAAATAAACATCAAGTTTTCCCTTTTCTAGTTCTTATTTAATGGATAGAACTTTAAATATACAAAAAACTATATAATTTGATATATTGAGAGGACCCTGGTAATCAGCATTTTTACTGAAACTTTTTTCTAAAATAAATAACCAAAGTCAAGAAAGACTGTTCAAAATACTTGATTAGTAATTTCACTGTAATTTCCAGCATATAATGAAAGAAACAAACACTAATCAAGTCATGATGAGTGTCAAAGTTTGTCAGCCAAGGATTGCAAGAAACCTGAGTATTCAAGAAAAATTAAGTGCCTTGGTTAGCAGCAGCAAGAGATAATCATAGGTTCTATGTAAGAAAAATTAAACTAAAAAAAAAGCCAAAAAAAACACACAAAACAACAAAATAACCACTCACTTCCTTTGCATCTATTCATAACAAGTACTATAGGATTTTGAGTACTAAAACATATTCTAAAGACAGTCCTTGATTTCATGCTAGCAGAATTGAGGGAAATTACATAATGGGTTATTTTTTACTAGAAGGAGAAATATTGAAGCAAGACAAGTTAGTCAATTCTGCCATTGTCTATGGTTACTGAATTTCCTTGTCATTACCTTGTTTCAGACCTGGATATGGAATGGATTTATATTTCGTATTTGTCTCACTTTAATTTAGTCACAGAACTGTTTACCTTATCATTGTTCATATTTCTGGACAGTTGTTAATATTTTGGGGGACTATTTCAGACTAGCTGTCAGGTATAAATTGCCAGCACTCAAGGTTATTTATCACTTTTTTAGAGGTCAAAAGGGAAGTAGCTATATGCATTTCTTGGGTACTTTTAACTCTCCACCATATTTCAAATGTTGTTAAGTGTTTCTGAGTTGTTAAGGGTTTCCAAGGAGTGGCGGGGGGTGGGGTGGTGTTTGAACTGCCACCTTGTAGTTCAAACTGACTTGAACTGCCACCTTGTAGTTCAAACTGATCTTGTAATTCAGTGCACTACCCTGCAGGACTCCTTATTTCAAATATGCATTATTAGATAATAATTCATGGAAGAAAACAACAGATTTGCTTGTTTATTTTAAAGAAAATTTTACCTTAAAAATGGCATACTTGTAATAATTGGTCAATTAAAATTAATACCATATTCTGTCATTGTTGAATATGCAAGTGTCAAGAAGACAGAGAGTATATTCATTTGTTTTTCTAGCATGTATCGTTAAGAATCATCGAGTGGTTCTGACTTATAGTGACTCTGTATAGGGTTTCCGAGAACGGCTAGTGAGCTTGAACTGCCGACCTTGCAGTTCAAACAGCTTTTCAGTCTGACACATTAACCCACAGTGCCACACCAGGACTCCTTTCTAGCATGTAGCATACCAATATTAAAGTTTGTGAAGTTAAATAAAACTAATGGATGTTAAAAATGAACATTCCTTTAGGAATACAGAACACTCCCCTGAGATAATATAAGGAGTGGAGGACCTGAAAGAGGAGGAAGTATATGAAGCATCAGGCAGTAAGAAAATCAAAACAAATTGAACAAAGTTAATGTTGTTGCTGTTATGTGCAGTGGAGTCGGTTCTGACTCACAGCGACCCTGTACAGAGTTTCTGAGGCTATAAATCTTTACGGAGCAGAAAGCCTCATCTTTCTCCCATGGAACAGCTGGTAGTCTCGAACTGCTGACCTTGGGTTTCACAGCCCTATTCGTAACCACTACACTACTAGAGCTCCTTGTTGCTGTTGTTAGGTACCCTCAAATTGATGCCGACTCATAGCGGCCCTATGCACAACAAAACAAAACACTGCCAGATCGTGTGTCATCATAATTGTTATTATTATGTTTGAGAACATTGTTGCTGCCACTGTGTTAAACTATCATGTCAGTTGTTGTTGTTGAGTGGGTTCCAATCCATAGTGACTCTGTAAAGGGTTTCCGAGGAGCAGCTCACTGAGCTTGAACGGCCAACCTTGCAGTTCAAAAGGCTTTGCAATCTGGCGCATTAACCCACAGCACCACACCCTCCACTTTACAATATATTGTTTTTGTTTAGGTAAAATTAGTTATAGTTTTTATATGCACCTCATAATAATGAAAATAACATCCCAATGTGTGTTTCCAGAGAGAATAGAGCATGGGTCCACTGTGGGGAAAACTGTTATAGACTGAATCATGTACTTACACAACATAAATTGGAAAACTAACTCCTCTCTCTATGAATGTAATCCTATCTGGGAATATGATTTTCTTTGTTATGTTAACCATAACCCATTACCCTTGAGTTAATTTTGACAATGGGGCATCAAAAAATTTTGGGGAAATTTTTCTTCAAAAAATTTTTGGAAAATAATATGAAAAGATAATGAACTTTTTTTTTTTTTTCAGAATTTTTTGAAGCATCCTCATGTATGTGTAAATGCAGGTTGTAAAATTAAATAATAATTATTATATTTACTAAAATAATATATTTGAAACCAGCTTTTTAAAAAGTGCTTTATTGTGAATTGAGTGAAATTTTACTAATCAGCTTTACATTCAACAAGTCACACATTTGTTTCATCTCAAACATAACAATCCCCTCCCTGCAACAACAGTCATCCTACCTTCTCCCTGTGGTTCCCCATTTACATCTTATATTTCACAAATGAACAAAGTAAAAATGCTTAATGCATACATACAAAACAACAAGTATATATCAATTTAAGTGTACAAAGGGCTCATTCTGCAAGCCAGCCTCTTGCCCTTAGGAGATAGCTGTTCTGTCTCTCCATGCCACCACCTCTTGCCATCTCTGCTGTCATCACTTTTCTAGGTAGAGATCTCAGGTTCCTTTCATACTCTTACTTCTTGAGGGTCCTTGGATCATCTGTTCCTGAAATGAAAGATTGACTACTCAACCTTTTTAGTTACAAGTCTTCTACA